AATGGGTCCAACAGAAGGCCCATAATGATAATTATAGTGACGGTCGACATTCTGGAGAGTCTTCTAGGAGATCCCGTCATTTACCTCTTCCAGTTAAGGAAGAAGTTCAATTCGATCATAGCCCGCAGATCGAAGAAGTAATCATCCAAGCCAAGAACTTGAACTTCAGTGGCGACGCCGCTCAAAAATTCAAGTACAAGAAGATGAAGAAGAATATGGCAATGAAGACACTATGGAGATCGATGTGGTTAGTATGGTCAGCCACACTGATATGGAAGATGATGATGGTGATGAAGACAACCAAGAATCACAGCCCCGTACACGTACTTATCATCGTCGTCATAGGGCTCGATCTATCGCCAATCGAAGTGCTCGTTCCTCAGAAGAAGGAGAAGAAGAGGAAGAAGTTGGAGAAAATCCTTTCACTGGTGAAAACATCACACTCGCAGATATGCGGCGACAAATGAGACAACATATGTGAAAGAAAGATAGAGAAATTTCTCAGATAAATGATAAAATGACTGAGATGATGACTCAGATGACAACAATGATGGAGATGATGTAGAAGACCACTACTGTGGGTCCTGCACCGGCTCAACCTATCGATCAAGCTGCTAATACTCAAAATCTCTAAGCGCCTCAAGCCTCAGGAGTGAAAGGTGTACCTGAAGATGGAGATAGAAATGATGATCCAACCCGCCAGTGCACTCCCCAAATGTGGCAAATGCCTCTGAACCTGTAACTGCATCACGGCTGGAAGGCTTAATTAGTGAAAAGATCAAGGCCATTATAGCTGCTGAACAGGCAGAGAAGTTGGTAGGGAAAGGTCCCCCATACCCAGTAGAGTACGATTATATGCCCTATCTAAAGGGATATTCTGTACCGAAGTTTAACATCTTCGATGGAAATAAAAATCCCAGGCAGCATCTCACATAATTCAAAGCTACAAGTTGGAACACAGGGGGTAATGATGCTCTGCTATTCAGGCAATTCGTAAGCAGCTTGAGTGGAATTGCTTTCGAATGATATGCCAAATTGCCAAATAATTCTCTAAAGACCTTCGCAGAATTAGAGGTATTATTCGTGAAAAGGTTTGCCAGTGCAATAGAGAAGACTACCATTGCTGATCTTGCCCTTGATAAAAGGAGAAAAGATGAATCAGTGACGAGGCATGTAACACGCTGGTGCAATCTCAGCATGAAGTGTGAGCAGCAGCTGGAAGAAGAACATGCAGTTCAACTGTTGATGGGGAACATTGATGATAAAATGCCACCCTTCTTATGCATGGCTTCTATTACTACCTTTCAAGATCTATTGGACAGGATGGCAAAATTTGAAAAGTAGAACTTGTCAAAGTTAGAAAGTCTCCCTGATAAACTCAAAAAAGCTAAAGCTACTGATGCTAGAAAGAATGAGGTCTACTCTGCATTCCCTCCCAGGCCTGATAAAGGTAAACGGGTGTTGTATAATGTGGATAAAGGAAAGAAGCCTACACAGTATGAGGAAAAACCAAAACAGGCTTACGATCCAATCCCTCAACCAAAATTGATTCTTGGAGGAAATGATAAACCTCGAGCCTTTCCCGCTGGAGGAGAGCGCCAAAGGAAAATCACAGGAACTGGTGATAGAAAGTTCCCTTCCCTGAAGGAGAAAATGAATAAAGAATATTCATTCAAGAGGGAGAGTGTCGCCAAGCTATTCCGACAAGCACTCAAGAATGGTCTAGAATTGCTAGAATGAAAAAGACCTGATGAGTCTAAACACAATGGCAACCCAAACTACTGCCCATATCATCGGGTAGTTAGTCATACAGTTGAAGATTGCTATGTCTTCGAAGATTGGCTAGAAAAGATGTACAAGAGGGGAGAATTGACATTATCAGATAATGTGTTAGTTCGTCCCAGAAAGGAATCCACCCGGGTAGTCACGTCCTCTTCTGTGCTCCTGCCTAAAGAAACAACAACAAAAGAACCTATTAAAAAGGAATAATGGGAAATCGTGGTTTCTAAGAAGACAATAAAGATGCTGAAACAGCTTGAAGGAGTTCCGGGTGTCAAATGGAAATCTCCTACTAAACCAGTACTAAATTTAAAGTGGTTGCCTGCATCACAGACATCCACCTCTAAACAACAATCTGGTTAAGCTAGCTCATCAAAGTCTAGAAAGCTAAAGTCAAAGTCTTCCAAGAAGAAATCCAAGCTGAGGAAGACTATGGTAAAGAGGACTGCAACTCAAAAGGCTATTGATAGTCTAGGTGAATATTACCAGACTACCAAGAGGCCTATTAAGCTCGGTGATTTTATGAAAGAGCTTAAAATAGATGAAAAGGAAGAAGAAGCTGAGGCCGAATCCCTTCCTATAGAGACATACCGAGTCATCTTTACGACATCAAAAATAACAAAAAGGGAGAAATACGCTGAAGAAGTGGCCCCTGAATTCTGTTTGATGGTGTCATCAATTGAATACAGTTTAGAAGAAGATCTATGTTTTCCAGAGGATGAATATTCAGACCCAAGCGTAGTATCGCAAATGAAGCAGGTGAAACTGGTAGACGATTCCGAGTCCACAGGCGAATCTCCAGACGTGACAATGGCTAACTCTGAAGAGAATGCTTCATCAAACAAGTCTGAATCAGATGAGGTGGCTCAGGTGCAGCTAAAAAGTGGTAAAGTACTGCCACCTCCACTAAAGAAAGGAGCTCATAACAAAGATAAAGGAAAAGAGATAGTTATCAATGAAGATATTATCTCTGAGGACTCCAGGATGAAAGATACTTCATCCAAGGGGATAAATTATAATATCTTATCCCATTTGAGAAAGATCCCAGTGTAACTCAGCATATATGATGCTCTCTTAATGTCTAAAGACCTTCGAGAGACTTTAATTCAAGCTCTCAAGGGCCCCAAAAGATATGAGGCATATTTTGCTGAGCGCAACTTGACGGAAGTCTTGCAAGCTCGAAATGAGCCCCTCATCACCTTTGCTGAGGATGATATGATGCTTGGAACGGCAGATCACAACCGCCCTTTGTATGTTACGGCAGAGAGCTTATGATGATCAGTCGAATTTTGGTCAATCCTGGATCTTCCATAAATCTCATGAGCTTGAAAGCACTGAGATATCTCTATCTCGATGTGGAGCATCTTGGCCAAGATAAACTGATGGTGCATGGCTTCAATTAGAAAGGGCAGAAAACCCTTGGACATATATAAGCTATGTTCCATGTCGTTGATGCGGACACTTCATTTAAGGCGCTACTAGGTCGACCATGGTTTCACGAATATGGCGTTGTCCCTTCAACATTACACCAGTGTATGAAGTATCTCAGGGAAGGAGAATAATTCAGAATCTCTGGTGATATCCAATCCTTTGCAGTACATGAAGTAACAATATATGAAGATGTTAGGTACTTCGTGCAAAAGAAGCAAAAGCCCTTGAGTTCTCTTGAGACTAGGGCATCAAATTCAAAGGCTGCAAAGCGACCTGAACGGGAAGGTGAGAAGAAGCGTGTAGGAAGAAAGAAGGCAACGCCGACTCTTCCCAAATCACCAACTATTCCCAAAGAAAGGAAACATGTGCCTCACTTAGGGAGTGATACAGAAGAAGATGATATCGTCCCTACAAAATCTCGAAAAGCATGTCAGTTCAGAAACGAATGGAGTATGGAGATTGAATTTTCAAATGATGATTATGACTATGACTCAATCTACATGAATACGGTGCAAAATGTGTTCTCTAGAAGAATAGACAGCCTATCAATCTCAGATAGTGTATTCGTAGTTACACGTACCCCCCTACAACACTTCAAGGAAATCATTTCACGTGAGGTATGTTGAGTCCAGTAATTAGGTTGTTAAGCCTA